AAAGAAAGAAAGAAAGAAAGAAAGAAAGAAAGAAAGAAAGAAAGAAAGAAAGAAAGAAAGAAAGAAAGAAAGAAAGAAAGAAAGAAAGAAAAGTCTGTAGTAGACACATGAAACTGACTGTTTAAGCAGTGAGATGTAAGATGCATGCTGTAAAACAAAAAACAGTGATGTAAAAAAGCATATCCCAAAAGAGCAAATGCAATGTCTTACATGTGCAAAAACCCTGTAAAACAGCCATGCTAACATAAAAAATGTGAACTTGCTGGACATTTGGTAACTTAAAAGAAAAGGCTAAAAATGAGGACAGCAAAACGCAAAACTCAACACAAAGCTACTGCATGTTGGTTTGCATCTAAGTCTTTCTGCTAGGATGAACAAATAAAAAGTTTACACGTAAGCTACAAACATCTACATTACACAGTTATAGGACAATTAACTCCTTACCTTCCCATTCTGATAGACACGGTGCAATTTAATTAAAGAACACAGTTAACTTAAAGATAAACAAAGTGTTTCAGAAAAAAAACTGTATAACATGCTAAGAAGTACACATGCTGTAAGGTTCTTAAGGAAAAAAACATTAATGAAAAAGTTAAATGATTCTGTGTTTAATTAACGATTAATACAAAGAAACATACACTCAATGACAATAAAGAAGTTGAGCACTTAGAAGGAATGGTACGATTTTGATATACTTTGTTTTTCATGCAAATATGCCTATGATTCAGTTAAAAGGTGACATCACAAACAAAGCAACAGTATTATTTAGCAGTTGTCTGAACGTCCAACAGTCAGCCAGTGAGTCAAGGTCACCAGAGATGGAGAATGCCTCACAGATATATTAGACAGCATTACTAGTGCTTGATAGAGTTTGATAGAAGTCACATTGTGAGTTTGCTTGAAGCCCAGTGGCTGCATCATGCAATTGCCCAGCATGTGGAACATATTGAGGTCATAGTGGTGATGCTGGGACCAAATAAAGGCACCCACACACATCATGAAGGTTCTGATCACTCAAGACAAATCACACCAACAGGGATCATTGTAGAACTGAATCCTGTGCCATTTTTTCCTGCCATCTGGGCACAAGCATTACACTGTACAACACCTAGTGTCATCATGTACTGTGTCTTGATGACTGTCAATAACCAAAGTATGGGTTTGATTCAGAGGACTCTGATGGCCTAACACTATGTCAGTAACATACTGCATCTGCATATTTTCTCCTTTCTGAGTCAGAACCCTGGTATAGTCTTTTAAAAAGACAACATCTGTCCACATATGGGACATGTGACTATAGACTGCCTGTATCATATAGAGGTCCTCCATGGCCAGCCAGGTTCCCCACTCTTTCCCCAGTCAAACACATACAGTGGTTTGCAAAAGTATTCATACCCCTTGAACTTTTCCATATTTTGTCACATTACAACCACAAACATAAATATATTTCACTGGAATTTAATGTGAAAGACCAACACAAAGTGGTATACAATTGTGAAGTGGAAGCAAAATTTTACATGAATCAAAACATTTTTTACAAATAAAAAACTGAAAAGTGTGACGTGCAAAAGTATTCAGCCCCCTTTTCCCTGAGTGCAACCAATTGCATTCAGAAGTTGCCTGATGACTGCTAATGACTCAAAAGGGTCCACCTGTGTGTAATCTAATCTCAGTACAAATACAGCTGCTCCGTGACGGCCTCAGATGTTGGTTAAGAGAATATTGGGGAGCAAACAGCATCATGAAGTCCAAAGAACACACCAGACAGGTTAGGAATATGGTTTTGGAGAAGTTTAAAGCAGGCTTAGGTTATAAAAAGATTTCCCAAGCTTTGAACATCTCACGGAGCACTGTTCAATCCATCATCCGGAAATGGAAAGAGTATGGCACCACAGTAAACCTGCCAAGACAAGGCCGTCCACCTAAACTTACAGGCCGAACAAGGAGATCACTGATCAGAGAGGCAGCCAAGAGGCCCATGGTGACTCTGGATGAAATGCAGAGAGCCACAGCTCAGGTGGAGGAAACTGTCCACAGGACAACAATTAGTCGTGCACTACACAAATGTGGTCTTTATGGAAGAGTGGCAAGGAGAAAGCCATTGTTAAAAGAAAACCATAAGAAGTCCCGTTTGCAGTTTGCCAGAAGCCATGTTGAGGACACAGCAAACATGTGGAAGAAGGTGCTTTGGTCAGACGAGACCAAAATTGAACTTTTTGGCCACAATGCAAAACGCTATGTGTGGCGGAGAAAGAACACTGCACATCACTCTGAAAACACCATCCCCACTGTCAAATATGGTGGTGGCAGCATCATGCTCTGGGGGTGCTTCTCTTCAGCAGGGACCGGGAAGTTGGTCAAAGTTGATGGGAAGATGGATGGAGCCAAATAAAGGGCAATCTTGGAAGAAAACCTGTTGGAGTCAGCAAAAGATTTGAGACTGGGGCGGAGGTTCACCTTCCAGCAGGACAACGACCCTAAACATAAAGCCAAAGCTACAATGGAGTGGTTTAAAAAAAAGAATATTCATGTGTTAGAATGGCCCAGTCAAAGTCCAGACCTAAACCCAATTGAGAATTTGTGGCAAGATCTCAAAACTGCTGTTCACAAACGCTCTCCATCCAATCTGACTGAGCTTGAGCTGTTTTGCAAGGAGGAATGGGCAAGAATTGCAGTCACTAGATGTGCAAAGCTGGTTGAGACATACCCTAAAAGACTTGCAGCTGTAATTGCAGCAAAAGGTGGCTCCACAAAGTATTGACTCAGGGGGGCTGAATAATTTTGCACGTCGCACTTTTCAGTTTTTTATTTGTAAAAAATGTTTTGATTCATGTAAAATTTTGCTTCCACTTCACAATTGTATACCACTTTGTGTTGGTCTTTCACATTAAATTCCAGTGAAATATATTTATGTTTGTGGTTGTAATGTGACAAAATATGGAAAAGTTCAAGGGGTATGAATACTTTTGCAAACCACTGTAATACCAGCATGGTCACCAACTCTGATCCAGTCCTTGCCAGTGTTTGTTGGATCTCAAAGCCACTTACAACAATTGTCAGCTGATTTAGTACACACAATGGTGCCACTTGCATCCTGGTCTGAGGGTGTGCTACACCCTACTGGCACAGGTCCATTGATGTGCCAGTACTGTCAACTTATTAGATCTGATGTTGCAATCTTAGCAATACAGTCATTTGACTTTTCAAACATGTGCAGTTACATTATATTTCCACCTCCCCCCTCCTGGTGCTCAACTTTATTTTTTGTCAGTGAAGGTATTAAAAATATTTATCCCTTCAAACATGAAAAAAGTAAATAGTTTACAATTCAATTTAACTAAATGACATTCTCTTGTAATACAACACAAAGTGATTCACCGTTGGCCATGCAGAGTGTAGTACAGCATTGAGAGCTCCATGCATTTACATTAACAGTACAAAAATTGGACGTGCACGATTTCCATATATCACAAAAGCCCCATTAAAAATGGGGAAAGTTTAAGATGAAAGATCTGAAAGAGATGGTCATAACTGACAAAGCAGATTCAGATAAAAAGCGGACAAGTCTGTATACCTCTGTGGTTCTATTGACCATCATCTGGTTAGGAAGCATAGAAAAAGAAAGGAGGGATAGGGTGTAGGATTGTTAGGGAAAAGATTTTACATCTGTGATAAGTAATACGGGAAAAATTACGAGGACAAGAAAACACACAATGAGGCATTTTAATGGGGCCTGGTGTAATGAGTAAAAAACTAACATGCTGGCAAGTGAAGTAAACTTGCACATTTCAATAGCACACTTTATGCTGCATGCCTATTTCTGTTAGAATTGTGCTTATAATTATGTTATGATGACATCTTATCTTTTCTCTTCAGTCTGATTTTTCTCTTTATTTCTTGCTCTAGACCCCAGAACTCCCTGCTACTTCAACAGTTTTGATCTGTGTTCCTCACTCACCTTAGACTGGACATCAGCGTTGTGGTCGTTCTGGAGTAGGAGCGCAGCAGACTTGGTGTCGTCTTTACGGGCCGCTATGTGCAGGGCTGGCAGGCGGACCTTACCCTTGGTGTCATGCTCCAAAAGCAAGGAGACAACAGAGTTGTGGCCCTGCTGGAGGGCAATGGCAAGAGGAGTGAAGCCGTCCTAAAGGAGCAGTGAAAACAAAAGAATAGGTGAAATCGGTTTGATACAGATAAGGAATTAATTTGTAAAATTTAACACATTTTTAAAATAATTCACACACAAACATACTTCTGTTGCAATGCTTTGGTTTCCTTCATTTTCCAGCAGGTATCGCACCACCTCCAAATGGTTTTCCTGGGCTGCCATGTAGAGTGGAGTGAAGCCATTCTGAACAGATATAAGGGTCCAGTTTATACTGTAGTTTATACTGTATACATTCAGCTCATAGCCTGATCTGTTGTTCATTACTTAAATTAGTTTTTGATAGTTCTCACCTGGGACTGAGCGTTGATATTTGCCGCTCGGTTAACCAAAAGTCTGACTACTTCTTTTTGACCAGCCAATGAGGCAATGTGCAAAGCAGTGTTTCCTTTCTGAAAAAATAAAAAAATACAGGATGAAGTGCATCTAAAATTTTAGTTTCCTATGTGGATATACACATAGGAAATTATGTGTAACTATTAACAGCTTGCATACTTGTTAACTTGTGTCCATACCTTGGTGGATGAATCGACAGGTGCTCCTCTCTGCAACAGTTCCTCCACTAAATCCTTGTGGCCCTCTTTGGCTGCCAGGTGTAATGCATTGAGACCATTCTGGAGAAAAATAACGATATTTTATGAAAACGGATGTGATGAACATGCACATATTTTCTATACATCCAAAGTGAAGAAAAATGCACCTCATCTTCATTTTCCTCCATTATGTTTGATGTCCTTTTCAAATAAAGACAGTTTCAAACTTTGAGTTAATCCTCTAGATGTCCTACTTCCTTCAAAGCTCAGCAAACATTTTTTCTACAATAAGTCTTCTCTTGCGTCTGAGTGTTTATTTTTTATCTTCTCTATGTTCTTCCTTCTCAGATAGTGCTCCAAAACAAAATCAGGGTAACGTAGGTCCATTCATTTCTTTTAGGCTCACCGACCCACTCCACCCACCAGAGACTCAGTCAGATGGATTACAGAAAGGAACGGTACCTCCCAGCTCTGGAGGCTCTGATCTCTCTGAAGACGAGCTGTTATGTTGCTGACACCTATGTCGTTCCCAGATTCCCACCCCCCACCGTGCTTACCCAGCATGCCTATACAAACAGACCAATAATAAATAGATGCTCTCTTTGGACAAACAGTCAACAGGGCGTAATGTATCTGCACAGTCATAGAACACATGTAAGACGCACACAAACATAGTCTTATTTAGAAGCTACTAAAAGTGTCTGCCCTTCACAAAAATAAAAAATGGGGGCTTACTTTAAAGGTTAAAGTGTTTCAGTGGGGCTATACTTAACTGACATACACTATCCCTTAAAAAGGCAAAAGCAATACCATAGTGATGTGCTGCATCTGAAATAAAACATTTAGAACTGCAAAGACATTCTGAAATTATATTTTCCTAATCAACAACATATAAAATAATAAAAGAAAATATGTTTCCCTTTGTTCAAGAAATAATAGCAAAGCTGCAAACTACTTATTGTTGACTGGATTAGGACAAATCTTATAATAATACAAGTTCAGCTGTAAGCAAATTTGTATTTTGTTTTACTTGTTTTTTGTGTGTTTTAAACTTTGTCATTGTAATTTATGATTTGGTTTACTGATGAACTCACCAAGCACTTGAGTCATCCTATGACTTTCACTAACTCACAGTCTTCCCAGTCATCGTCTGATGGGTGTGGTTATCTTAAGATTGTTATTTAAACTCTTCTTCGGAGAGAGGCTGACCTGCTTTGTAAGGCTCAACTATAAAAGCTTTAATGTTTTCACCTCAGCAAATTAGAGGTTATAAGTGGACTTTTGGAACAGTTTTACTACAATAGTCAAAATGAAACATCCAAATATGTTATCTGCTGACATAAGCACACAGAGAAAGTTAGAGCATTTTGCATCAGCTATAAAATGGGACTCTGACACAGCAAAAAACGATTCAATCCTATTAGAGTGTTTCAATCACATTTAAACCATTATGTATTTCAGGAGAGACAGGCAAAACCCCCAATAGACCCACATATGTACACACTCTGTCACACAGACTGATGTAAAGCTCCTTTTCCTCTGAGCTGCGCTGGAAGTGAAAGCTTAATTTAGCTAATGGACATTCAGCCTCAGCAGTACATCTTTCCACCAGAGCAGGACAACTATTGAGCTCCGTTCAACACAGATTATTATTTAACCTTCTTTTTGACCGCTGACCTTTGTTATGATCGCACATAAGTGGCCATATCTATTTAGTGTTGCTTTCAAGATTCGAGTGTAACATGGATGTCATTTAGATGGAAAAAAAAATGGGAAAATGCAGATTAAAGAGTAATATCACTCCCCAAGGATTAACATTGTGCTAGATTAGAGGGAAAGTCTGCCCTTTATTTGTGAGGAAAAGGAATAAAACAGCTCACTTATGCAAAAAGACACACACACACACACACACACACAGCTCATTCACACACTTTTTACCCACCATATATACAGAAATGTAGAGATAGAATTCTGCTAAGTTCTGAAAACTTTTTTCCTACAATAAATTTAAAATTAACAGACAACTTGCTTAAACTGAGAATGAAGCAACCCTATTTGTATTTGTTTGTTTTATTTGTAAAATCTGAACACACTGAACAAAACAGAACACAGAGACACCATATGACTGTAGCTTTGGCAGCTTTGACCAGTAATACTCTTTAACCAACTTGGAAAGTTCCCTGCCTTTGGCACCAGACCCTGACAACTCAGCTGCTGCTTTCCAAGACTGGGCTCTTCAGGTATTAACGAGCATATTGCAGAGGTTCAAGATTCCTCTAGCAAATTGCAGAGGTAAAAAAAAATTGGTAAAAATTCAAGGAAAAATAAAAATATTGGATTTACTTCCTTTTTTGTAACTGGTTGCTTTTTGTGATGAAAATTCTGTTCTGGAGAAACTTCTGTGTGCAAAGGACAAAGCTGAAGGTCAGTCAGTGACATCACCGCATGGGCTCAGGAACTTTTCCACAAATGAAATTTATTTTTATTTAGTGGTGCATGAGATATTTTTGCTTACAAACAAACAGGGCTGACTCCAAAAGTTAATGCTATGGGTTTAAGCAAAAAAAAAAAAAAAAAAAAAACTGAAAAGCAGGCTATAATGAGCTATTTAGATGTGTATTTGATGTCAGGTTTGTATAAAGTTACAATACAGCTATGGTGCAGTTTCTTGCTCTTTACACACAAACACACACATACACACACTAGGTTGGGGCATCACTGTAACATATACAGTGTAAAAATGTCAGTCACATTTTTGGTCATCTGACAGTCATTTGATCATCTGACACTGAAGTGGTCTGAAGGGCATGGCTCTCCTATTGCTGGATGTGCTATGTGTGTGTTTGTGTGTGTGCATGTGTGTGTGTGCGTGTGTGTGTGTGTGTGTGTGTATAGTCAGACTTTCATGTTTGTACACTAAAGAAAGCTCCATGGCACCCATGGCAACAAACAGTAGGGCAAAGGGTGGGCACCTGCTATTTCCTGACTACCAAATGATTGCCACCCAGTTTATAAATGGTAAGACTTTGCTGCAATATTACAAAAGGCCAACTGCAACGAGCAAGTAATACATGCATTAGGTCAGGGCTATTCAGCTGGCGGCCCGCGGAGAGACCACAGTTCGGCCCGCCAATTGGTTCATTCATCACTTAAGCTCAAACCCCCACTTTTCTACTTTAATTACTTTTTCTTTTAGTTAGACATAGACATGTTTGGTATCTACAGAACCGTCAGAATTGTGGCTACAAGTTGGTAAAAAACATTTATATGCACACTAAGGACTGTTAAAATGACAAGCAGTTGAAGATAAAACTATCAAAGTGAAAATAAAATTGGTTTAAAAATTTGGCAAGTCAGAGATGTCAAAATAATATTTGTGTCAAATAGGGAGTATAATGTGTTCTTTTTGTTTTTGATTTTGTTTATTTATCCCTACTTTTAATAGGGTTCTGTATGTTGTAATCATGATTAAATGCAGCAAAATAAACTATTAAGGTAACAGATCTTTTTTATACTTAATTTACATAACAAATTTAATTGCTGGATGTCCAGCACCTGAGCTGTTGACCTGCTGTAACTGTGGCCCCCGGAGCAGTTTAGTTGAATAGCCCTGCATTAGGTACTCACATTACACACATGCTAACATAGGCTCACCTAACATCCTTCTTTAAGCTACCTCATGACTGTTGTAACTCAAAATGACAGAGAGGATGACAGAGCTGTAAGAAGAAGTATTTCACCCCCTCCAGTATCTCCCCCTCGGTGGAATGTGGAAGAGGATAGGCAGGGAGTTAAGAGCAGCTGTCCATGGGGCACAGACCCCTCCGATGCTGCTTGAACTGGATCCAACAGGGATGCTACTGTAAATATTGTAGTGGTGTTAATGGGACCAGGTTCAGGCATTTATTGCCTCAAATCATTACTGTGATGTTTTTGTCACAGGACAATGCTAAAAAGATACTTTACTTTAGTTTTCTTTATACGTTATTTGTAGTAAAATTAGTACAAGCGTGTCTCAAGCATTGCCTTACACGATCATTCATTTACTACAACACAAAATAAATCACGAGTACATACGTTACAGGGCATTCCTTCATGTGCACTACAGTCACATCACATGTTTAGGAACTTAACAGGTTGTGGACCAAAACAATTTTTTGATCTATTTTTAGTAAAAAAAAAAAGAGGAAGAGAGAATCATTGCCCAGATGGAAGGGGTTTAAAGCAGTGATTAAGGGGATGGGTTTTGTCAATCATAATTTCCTTTGCCTTGTTGACTTCTGATTCTGCAATTCTTCACAATTTACTTGCTATTGTCACTGATTTTCTGATAGCAATTTTTGAGCCGTAGAAGCATTTCCAAACCAGCAGATGATACAGAAAGATTTCAATAAAAACTTTCCATAAAAACACTATAAAACATATGAAGAATCCCCACTTCAGTTTGTGATCAAGCACAACGCCAAGATATTTAAACTTTTAACAGATTGTATATGTTTATTGTCAATATAAGTTGTGCAGGAAGATGGACATTAGTATCTCTCAGGTTTATTAGGAGATTGTGTTGTTTACACCAGTTAAGAAAAGAACCTAAAACTGGACCATGGTCCTCTTCTTCATCAAATAAAAGACTAACCAAGGCTGTGTCATTGGCATACTTAAGTATCTGTTTGGGAAAAGACTTTTACAAGAGTTTGTATAATGAGTAATGAGGACAAAACACAACCCTGGGGAATGCCTTTGTTGGTTTCTTTACTATCAGAAAGAGCTGCTCCAACTCTAACCCACTGTGTTTTGTGAGTTTGAAAGTCAAGGATCCATGAATTTACGGTACTAGTATGTGTTTTGATGAGAATACATGCACATAAAGAGTTATTATACACATATCAGGCTGATTATTGATTGCTTTTAAACAGTTCTTATGATTAGAGGTATTATAGAACTCCGAAGTTTTCTCAGGTCCCCTGCCCAATCTGAACAATGATGGCATGTTTAGCCGCATGTTGTCGTTCAACCACTGGCTATTTAGGTGGCGTTCTGAAAACAGGGTTTTCTACATCCTATTTCTTATTAGTCTTTATCTGGAACAACAATTCATGTTTGTTGTGAGATCTCAAATTAAATTATTTACTGCAATCGCAGGTTACCCACATTAAATTATCTAGAGATAGGGTTTAGGTTTGAGTCATTGTGTTGAAGATGTTTTAGAACTGTGTGCTTTAAAGAGGAGAAAGTAAAACAAAACACACCAAACAGTAATGCACAACATACACAGCAAAAATTAATTAATTAATTAATTAATTAATTTAAAAAACAGAAGTACACTCCAGATATCAAATGTAGATCCAGCAAGATATTTTCTTACCTGGTTGCAGGTGCTGATGTCAACTCCATTTCTGAGGAATTCCAGGACTTTGTCAGTGTTCCCCGCTCGTGCAGCTCGAAGAAAACTGGTGCTACTGTCAGACTGCAGAGGTGAAGACAGAAATAAAGCAAATTATTAGAAACTCCAACAAATGACAGCATTTCTGGTAAAACAATATGAGCTTTGTTAGCCCAAGATCACACACAGTTTTCCTATTCTTTGTAATGTTTTTCTATTTTTCATTTTTGCAAAATATGCTTTTATCTCAACACTCAAAAAATGGATGTAGTGGGTTTAATCCATTACATGTTAACTGAGTGTATTTGGCTTTAGTTTTTTTTTTTATTATTCAGTCACATAAGCTGATATTAACGAAAAGGTTATTTTATGTAAGAATGTAGTTTTACAAAAGCCAGACAGTTTGTAAAATGGTCTGAGTTGTTAGATCTAAATTTAACCACATCGCTCAGAGCAGACCCACACACACCCCATACACATAAATACACGCTCCTATCAAAAAACATAAATATTTTTCTTTTCACGTCAAAGTTAAAGTTCTTGAAAACCTAAAAATTGCATGTTAATGTCCTTTTAAAAATGAATGACAGAGTGATTTTCATGCTTGAATTGAATGGAGCAAATCATCTGTCAGCATCATTGTTGACAGTTGTCAATGGTAATCAACATTTCTTGACAAATATGATCACATATATTAGATTTTTATCAAAAGTAGGCAGAAATTGACTTGATAAAGTACTGACCAAGGTTGAACCTCCATTTTATGTCTGTGTGCTAGTTAAACTCTGCTGGGTGTTAACATGTGAGATCAGGACCACAAGCTCCTCACGACACACTGGAGGTGAGGTCACATTCCCGTCAAAGTTCATAGGTCAAACCTCACACATGACACCTTTTACCACACAAACACACCATCAACAGGGAAATAAAAACACTGTATGAAAATACTCCTCATCATTGCAGAACAATATCACAAAGCATAAAGGTTAAAATCAGGACTTTTCATCCTCTTACCAGGATATCTTCCACGTCAGATCCAGAGTCAGCAACCTTGTAGTAGTCAGAGTGTTGGTCAGAGTCTCCGTCACCCTCTTTGGTCTTTAAATCGCTGCCTGATCCACATGGTTTACATGATGCTGCGTTACCCATAGTTATAATCCAGCTACCCCAGCTTTACCTCAGCATTATGATGAGTCTTCACTAACTTTAAGACTGTGTAGGACTGGAGAGTCCATTAAGGTACACAGTTTGCAGTTTCTCACTTTACATCCTTAGACAGAAGCCTTTCCATTCCACTTCCTTGACAAATGGGTGCTTAATGGATCCCACAAAGTATGAAAATTCTCTCTCCAAACTTTTAAAACACCACTGCAAATCTTACTTCCGTTTTCATCCTTTCTCACGTTCCATTAACAATCTTCCTCAGGCTTTTGACACCTTTTGGCTCTGTCTCAGTCTATACCCTGCATGCTCCAAAGTCCTGCCTACTCTTCCTCTACCACTCTATTTTTGTGGGTTAACAACTGCAGACATACACATTTAACTCACGCAGTGTCTCCCGCGTCGGCTATTTTTATCACTTCAGATCATCAATTCTACAGAGTCCCCTGCCCCTTGCTGTCTGTCACAGGCGTGGGGGGGCGTGACAGCTGGGTTTGAGTCTGAATTTGGACTCTATGTCTGCTAAAAGGCTACAAGAATTATGAGAAAGAGACCAAATTCCATTGGAAACATAATACATTCCACTAAATCACACCAATGTTGTGAGAGTCATCCAAATTTTAAAATTTTCACATTTAATCTTAACTTTATTCACCTCACATAGGTTTTCTACATTTTTACTTCTACTTAATGGTGGTTTCAAAGCATCAATTTAACTACCAAACTATGAATGTATAAAATACTAGTATGAAAGAATCACAGTACACAGTAAGCTTTTTAGGTTACATGTTACTCATGAGAAACCATACAAGATTCCTTCTGTCTAAGCTCACATGGTACAGAAATACTGATGCCATCAGGTGTAGAAGCACAAGGTTTTTTAATGCATCATCCATGTATGCATGTATTCACTTATCTGCCTGTGCACGTGTTGTTTTCATCTGTTTGTCAAAATAACCACACAGCTAAAGATCAGTCTGATTGAGAACCAGCTGTGCTCTACAGGATTTGTGTAAATGGATTTGCAGTCTGTCAGATAGTGAAGAATACTGGATTACACGCTGAGCTCTGTCCTATTGAAATGTCTTATTAGTCGTGGCACAGCAAGGGTTTACCTTCAACATTTCTAAGCATTGGCATGTCTTCAGTAGTGCAGTAGTAAAGATAAACCCCTTACACAAATGGATAGGCACTAGATAAACTCCACTTTACTGGAGTCCATCTATGTCAGCCTTAATCCACTGGTCCCAATCAAGAGAAAAGCATCCATATAAAATCTCATGATGTCTGTCACGTGAACACACAAGACATTAGAAGGAGAAAATTAAAGAAAATTGTTTGTGGACATAAAAGAAACAATTCTGTTGAAACACATAGTTGACAAAGGACCCAAAAAGTTTCTGCAGGACTGAAAATGCCAAAGAGCTGCAGCATCTATAGCTCTATAAGGAAATATATTCTGAAAAAACAGCAATCCAGAAGGGGCTGTCCAGCCAAGCAACATCCAGCAAGGATGAAGGACTGTGATTAGTTAAAACAGGAAGAGCTAAATGGATATGAGCATCAGTATCTTTAGATAAAAGGAAAATATCGCTTGGATGAAAAGAGGCAGATTTTTGTAAAATGATTAAATGGTCAGAGAATTAACAAAAGAACTGAACAGTATACTTAATTTTACCTGACGTTTAGCTCTCTCCCGCTGCCGTCTCCTCTTCTCTCTGGCTTTCTGTAGAGCCTTATACTCTGGATGTTGCTCAAGTTCTCGTGCTTTCTTAAGATGGGCTGCAGCGTGAGCCATGATGTCTTCAGACTACCGTTTCCAGTCGTAAAAATTGTTTTGCTGTATACTGAAGTTTAATTTAGATATGTCTTGGTCCAATGAACAAGAGCCTATTATATAAGCCTCTGGCAAAAATGTATTTTACTCTATGAAAAGTATTTCGACCTTTAGCTTGCTCTACGATAACACTCTTAACTTTCTCTTCTTATCTAATGTTATTGGACTTTTGTTCCTCAGAAAATAAAATACAAAAAATAAAAATAAAAACAAAAATAAACGTACACAAAAATGAAACGTCAGATTTTATCTTGATTTCTAGATGTTGCAAAAATATTTAAATCAGAGTCCAAATCTTTTACAATGCCTACTGAACTATTTCCATGTGCACAAGTAAAAGAAAATGAGAAATGATGACCAAATAGGGATGCTGAATAAAAAATAGGAGCCGTCCACTCATTCATCACATGGCCCATCACACACACACACACACACACACACACACACACACACACACACACGCACGCACGCGCACACACACACACACACACACGCACACAGGGACACAGGCACACCGGCAGGGACTGATCCAAACCAGATGTGGATGAAAACCTTAGTCCGTGTGAACAGCTGTAGTTACAGAATGCTGATGTGTGTCTGTGGGCACGTTTTTGCTACATGGTAAGAACCCTTTTCCAGAAAAAGGCAGCCTAGTGGGGATCAAATGCAAGTCGTGGGGACCAATGCCCGGTCCCCACAAGTACAGATGCTAATTTCGAGTGGGGGTTAGGTTTAGGTTAGTTTTAGGGTCAGGTAGTACCTGTGAGGTTAATTTTAGGGTAGATAGTCAGGATTAGGCTACAAATTACCAGAAAATGAATGGAAGTCAATACATGGTCCCAACAGGGATAAAAAAGCAAACCTGTGTGTGTGTGTGCCTGTATTACCATTTATTGTGAATGTTGCAGAACATGTGACCTACAGTCACATGAGTGTGTAACCAGTGAAAGGCTTTTAGAGAGGCTGTGTGCCAACATCCAGCTGACTCCTGCAGTTACAGCTGTTCACTCTGATGCTGTGGAGACGCCCTGCATCCAGAAAGACAGAGGAACGTGTGAGGAGAAGAAACGAGAAGCAGGGTTTGGCTGAAGGCACAGCATTAACATATTGATTATGCTAGAAAATCAACTTGTGTCCAACTACAAATAAAACAGTACACGCTTACAGTCGCACAACCAGGACGCATTTGATATTGATGTATTTCTTCAATGACATTTTCTGTCTTCAAGAATTTATCATAAGTCTGATGGTTTTACAGTGTTGTACTCTGCAGCTGTTTGATGCAAAAGTTTGATGCAACACTTTATTTGAAGTGGTGTGCATAAGACTGTCATAATGCTGTCATAAATATGGCATAACACCTGTCATGAACTCAAAAGAGTCCTCATGAATGTTTATGACTGTTGTCATTAAGTGTCATTCGGTAAATTCTGACACTTTTAATGCAAAGTTGACATTGTTTAAAATGTCTTTGTTATGACAACTTGACATTAACCAAGACAAAAAAAAATGTCTTGACAAGTTAGAGTATTTATAAGCATTTGTCAGTGTAATGACGCTTAATGACATCTCTATAACTATTATAACATGTTCCGCTTTACTTGAGGTAAGGGAAAATATTAATGAAATATATTGGTCTCATGACAGCCAAAGTTAAGACTAACAACAAATGACAGTGTAATAAAATGGTAAAGTTGATACTTAATAGCTTTTATGATATTATTATGATTTCTTGGTTAATGTCAAGTTGTCATAACAAAGACATTTTAAACAATGTCAACTTTGCATTAAAAGTGTCATAATTTACCGAATGACACTTAATGACAACAGTCATAAAGATTTATGAGGACTCATTTAAGTGCATGACCGATGTTATGTCATATTTATGACAGTGTCATGACAGTCTTATGCACACCCCTTCAAATAAAGTGTTAACTATTTTCCTATGATGTTTTGGAGAATAGTGATAAATGTAGTGATCGAACCACACCAGTACTTATTTACCTCCTGAAAATACAGACCACTCCCTAAATGAAGGGAGAATGTGTCTCAAATGCACATCACATGTTTTACTGTCAGCTGATGGAACATGATGTGACAACTCATGTGAGTGTGTGGATTTGTGTTTGTCCACCGCTGGCACTCGGCTGTCAAGGTCTCGCTCTGCCACTGCAGTTATTTCTGCTCACGCATTCTGCCTGCAGTGTTTTGCAGGCTCAGTCAAAGTCAACAACATTTCTCTCTATGAGTAGTCATGAATGGAGCTGAACTGCTGATTCATAGTAGAGTAATACTGCAAAAGAAAAAGTCCTACTGCAGTGTGTTGAAACTGAATGCTTCATTTGAGTACACAGAAAAATCCTGCTGTTAAGCTGATTTAATATTTTTGTGAAAGCATGATGTTTCTCTGGCGCTCTCTGCTGGTGACACAGGAAACAACTGTGGAATTTAACCCACCAGGTTAATTATCAAAGGAAAACTTCTTAGACTAAATCTTTATTTTAATAAGGAAAAAAGTCACATTTGACTCAAATGTCATTTTGGGAGGAAGTGATGGTGCAGAAGTTAGAGAAGGTGAGTCTGTAATTGGAAGGTCGGTTGGTTTGAACCCCCAGACAGGCATGAGAAAACTGGGTGTGAAAGGTGAAGCACCCACAGCTGCCTCCACCTTGAGCAACGCTGCTCCTCCAGCTGCTTCTCGGGCTTCTGCAGGGTATTTATTTCCCCATTGGGGATTAACAGTGCATAATAAAATAATGCGTTCAGTTCAAATCAGAGATAAAATGCCAGTTGTTTGTATACTGTTAAGCTTCCAATGTTTAGTTAGTGATCTTAGACGATTATTTATGCAACAGTATCAAAATCAGAGGAGAAAAAAAAATCAAATGAACAAGTAAAGTACGTGTGCCTCGGTGCTTGCATTATCGATTCAGGGGTCAGATTACACTGACAGCAGATTCAGAAGAAAAGCTAATGTGAGCTCTTGTTTCTGTTGGTTTAGTGGACCAGACACACGGGGAGGGGTTTAATGCTCTGCTCTCCATGTTATGGATCCAAAGGCTTTTACTTGGCCCATTAGGATCCATTGACTGGCAGATATGAAAAATGCAAAGACCCTGCATATACTTGTTTACGTGTTTCAAGCTGAGAGGATATTACCAAGTGTGTAGAAAAGTGCTGAATCATGAGTATGTAGCATGCCCGGATTCAACGTGTCATGTTTTACATGTGGTATGCAATCACAAACATACTGGACTGTTTCAAGATTAAATCAAGATTTTAACTTTGTTGTCTGTTGCTAATAATATGCAAAACGATGTAAAATGGTAAATGGTAAATGGTACTGAACTTATAGAGCGCTTTTCAAATCCCTCCGGACCCCCAAAGCGCTTTACACTAACAGACATTCACCCATTCACACTCACATTCACACACTGATGATGGCAAACTACACTGTAGCCACAGCTGCCCTGGGGCACACTGACAGAGGTGGGG